GTCAAGGATCTTCTTTTAAGAGTTTATAGAATCTCCAGTCTACTCTAATCATAATGAGGTGAATAACTATTACAGCACGACACTATGAGAAGGTAGCACGAGGGTGCAATTGGTTTAAGAATAAGCTAGGACGCGAGTTAAGTTAACTCATCGTGGGACGTCAAATAAGAGATTGAGGCGTATGGCGATTTCTAGTAATAAAGAAAGGATGAAAGAAACGTGACCAACCCAAGTAGAATCTCAAGACTCTCAAGACCAAGTATCTCATCGACATGATGGATAGTAGTTTTTTTTTTCAATTAGTTAACCAACTACTCGGACGTTAGCAAACAGATCATCATCATCAACCTAGAGAAGGAAGGAGGAACGTTGCAAAGGTCTGTGGAGGTAGAATCAAATGTGCGAGGACTTCAACTCCAAACACCAGCAAAGAGGTACCAGTTGAAAGGGAATACCTCAAGCATTTTGAAGGAGTTGAGAGTGTAGTACAAGGATTTTACTACTAGAAAACAAGTGGATGATCTAATAAGCTAAGACAAACAAAGGGGAGAAATATGATTCTCCAAAGGAAGAGGAACAATCACCAAATGCCAGTAGCTATAATAATAGGATGATGTTAGGGTCTTTGGTCCTAAGCAGTGGAAAGTGGGCAACGGGTCAAGAAACGAAGAGGTAACCCGAGAAGCCCCTCAGCTAGTTTTTGTGGTCGTTGGCTCAATGCCATTACCACACAGTGACAAGGAGTAGAGGAATGTTTAGACTTTAAGAAATTCTAGGGTAGTATAAAGGAAGCGAAGGACGGAATAAGTAGGTTATAAGGAGTATGAAAGGACGTCCAGAAGTCAGTAAGTCAAGGCGAAGATGAGGCATGGTCATTTACATATGAGGAAAAAGGAACCCTTATATATAAACTACGTCACTACAGAAGAGGGTACATGACCCTGGGGAGATAGGCCGATGACAAGCCTTTAAAAGAAACAAGACAAGCAACGAGATAAATGATGTAGAGGGAAAGTTACGGTCTCTGTACGAGCACCATTGGACGATATGTGGAGGAAAGTGCCACCAAAGTCTAAAGCATGCCTGGTAGAAGACAGTACGGAGTCAATACTTAAGAAAAGACATGGGGAATACGAATAGAGAACCACTTCTCAGAAGTGCGTGAGTAGGATACCAAGATAACGCCGAGAAGGAGGATAGTAGAGACCCTACAAACTACCCAGGTCACAAAAGGTCAAGAGGATGTTGGGACTGTTGGAAGGGGTATGCAAGAGTTCACGATGATCTATTATGGGATTGTCCTCTCTTAACTAGAGGGAACACCTAGCCTCCTATACATGAGGGGTGACAGAAGGAGGAACCTCTCTACTAAGTTGGAACTAGAGGGCTAAGAGCTGGGGTCTCGGAACTAGCTAAAGGGCTAAGTCATTCAATCACCCGAGTATAGGCAAGCAAGTAGAATGTTCATTAGAAGTTCTAATGAAAGTTGGAGAATTCGAGGAAGAGTCTAAACGGTCGTAATGAAGAGAGTTTGCGAACAATACCAAGGAAGAGCAAAAAGGCCAGAGGGAGTTTGTAGAGATTCCAAGAAGTCAATGGGTCAAGTCTCAGGTGACTCGAGGTCAAGAAGCTGCACAAAGGGGTACGATGAGGGAAAGCATTACCGAGAAGGAGGAAAAACAGAAGTTACCTTATCCAAGGTGCCCCACTCTGAGTGGGCGTGGCATAGTAGGAGGGCTCCAGAGGAGACAACTAGTTAAGGATGAAACATGCACGCTTAGTTAAGCCACTAAGAATCCTAACTAAGAGACTAAGTTTATGTACAAGATCGATCACCAAAAGAGACATGGAATGAGTTATGTTAAAGGTTACCAAGGGCAAGCCACCATTGGAAATTGTGACCTAAAACAACAACGAGAAGATACTCAACAGAGGTTGGCGACCAAATATAGTACAAGCAACAACAGAAGAGTTGTAGTTGGTGGTAGTAAAAGTAAAGAAGCAAGAAGAACACCGTGGGAAGTTATAGAAAAAAATGGTTGGCATCAACCTGGCGATGTATGCGTCAAGGAAGATAGTTAAGACGGGCGGAATCAGGAGTACAACATACAACAAGAAAGCATTAGGTTGACCACCAAGCAGAGAACAACCGATCCATAGGAAGTCCATAAAGATATTTCAGTCAATTTTAAGTTGGAATTAGGGTCGTGAAGAATAGTGGAAGGGAAAACCTTGTGGGCCATAGTACATAAGTGAGAAGTGGATATAGGAATCTGGAGGACTACGTCGCGAACAAGGGACACTTAAACCTAGAAAGGAACATCAAGAAGAAGAGTCATGAGAAACGAAGTATGAGGGATATGAGTTTAGGGAACCTGTTAGGATACCCTAAAGTGAAAGCAATACCACTTATGAGGGTGAAATGTGGCGATCTCTCGGGTGAAAATTTCTTGGACGGGGAAACTATACGAGAAATTTCAAGCAAGGTCAAATACAATAAAAGAGATCGTAGGAGAACTCCCAAGTTAAACGGTGATAAGGAAGTGTTAAGTTAGGCGCCATGAGTGAAAAAGTACTCAAAATGGAAGGTCATGATTCTGGAAAGGAGTCATAAATTTGATCGCAAGCTAGAGAAAGTTTCAAAGGATGCCTCTAATGCATACAGAAAGTCGAAGCAGTAGTATGAGGTTTCAGAGTTAAGCAAAAAGTAACGAGGAGATGACCACTCAGTTTATGGTTAAAGGATAAGACGAGGCATCAAGGAGGAAAGTAAGGGATGCAAAGTTAGGAGATACAAGGAACTAGGTGACCTATGAGGTCAACCCTAGACGAGAGTTATGTTAAAAGAGTTTTACCATCTGACTAGATGGAAGGTAAACCGCCACCAGTGACCTTGTGGTTGGAGAGGGGCACTAACTTCTCATGTACCGAGTGGATAGCTATCGTTCCTATATAGGTACAAGGTGCAGCCGAGGTAATGTGAGGGGGTTAAGAAGCCACAACAACTTTGAAGTTGCAGGGAAGAGAAGGATTTTAGGTCATGTCGTATGAGCTAAAGGAAATAAAAATCCGAGAAGTGAAAAGGATTACCACAAGCGATGCTTAGGGTAATCACAGTGAACAAATTTCGAGGTCGAAATTTTTCTTAAGGAGGGAGGAAATGTGACACCTTGAATTCGATCTAAGGTTCAAAAACAAGTACTGAATGGGCTGGACCAATAAATCGACTCGAAGTGTTGTCCCGTCATGCGCCTTATGCCCAATTGGGGAATTAAAAAGGATAAGTAGCCACCCAAAGCTGCAAGGATAAGTAGCCAACCAAAGCTGCCCGATCCTAACGAGCTTGGTGAGAATCCCTCATATGGTCAAGAGGGGAAAAAATCCCAAGTTACACATGTTTTTAAAAAAAATTCTCAAAATACACATGTTATGAAAATAATTCCCAATCTACACATGTTTGGGCCTTCACCGCGTCAGAGAAGGGCGGTGATTGCTTCACCGCGTGAGAGAAAAACGGTGATTGCTTCACCGCGTGAGAGCAAAACGGTGACTGCTTCACCGTGGGAGAGCAAAACGGTGATTGCTTCACCGCGTGAGAGCAAAACGGTGAAGCACTGAACTGCGTCAAAACTTTAAAACAACGTAACTTTGTGCTCGGTTATCCGATCGTAGCGAATTTTTTTTTGATTCCGCATAATTTTTCGAGATCTTGCAAGCCGCAAACAGCCGGAGGCGGTTTGGTCCCGCCTTCGTCTCGAAAAAATGTCGTTTGCTACCCCGAACGACCCTTTTTTCGATTTCGTCAAACTTTGAACGACCATAATTTTGTGCTCCACAATCCAAAAATCATGAATTTTTTTTTGATTTCGCATAACTTTTTAAGGACTACAATTTTTATCATAGACATAATTTCGGAATGTACTTGGATTCCTGAAAAGGGAAGGTAAAGTTATTCCCAAAACCCCTTATATCCATAAATAATTCATTTTTTGAAAATTCTCTCCTACTAAAAATTGTAGTCCTTAAAAAGTTATGCGGAATCAAAAAAAAATTCATGATTTTTGGATTGTGGAGCACAAAGTTATGGTCGTTCAAAGTTTGACGAAATCGAAAAAAGGGTCGTTCGGGGTAGCAAACGACATTTTTTCGAGACGAAGGCGGGACCAAACCGCCTCTGGCTGTTTGCGGCTTGCAAGATCTCGAAAAATTATGCGGAATCAAAAAAAAATTCGCTACGATCGGATAACCGAGCACAAAGTTACGTTGTTTTAAAGTTTGGACGCAGTTCAGTGCTTCACCGCCTTGGTCTCACGCGGTGAAGCAATCACCGCCTTGGTCTCACGCAGTGAAGCAATCACCGTTTTAGTTTGAAACGGTGAATACATCACCGTTTTAGACAAAAACGGTGAAGTATTCACCGTTTTGGTCAAAAGCGGTGATGACCTTCACCGCTTTTGTCTAAAACGGTGATGCTCAAACATGTGTACTTTTGGAATTTTTTTTATAACTTATGTATTTTGGGAATTTTTTTTAAGAACTAGTGTACTTTGGGATTTTTCCGTCAAGAGGAAATATAAGGAGTGAGGTAAACTATACGGGACAAGCAACGGACATCATCGAAGTACATTTAGCTAGAGTAAATTCTTGAGGCAAGGGAGTACAAAGATGGTGTAGAATGAGCAATGAGTTTCAAGCAAATTTCAGGGACGAAATTTTTATAAGGGTGGAGGAAATGTTACACCCCGACCTTTGGGTTCGTGTTCGACCGTAATACGTGAACGGTTGGATTAATGGTTACGTACTCAAGATTGCAATCGCGGATTAGTAGTAATAATAATAATAAATATTATTATTATTATTATTTTCTTATTATTAAAAAAGTAATATGTTCACTCGGGCCCCAAAAAGGGCCACTCCATCCAATTTCCACCGCCAACAATATTCCCCCCAGGCCAAAAAACGTCCCCATTCATTAAATGGAGAAAAACCCTAAACTCAACTCACCTCTCCACCGACACCACGCCAGGAGGCTTGGCGATTTGAGCTGCTCCTTCTTCGTCCAATACAGCCGTGAAGCCATTGATATGCCTGGTGAATGAGTAGCGGATTGCATCCCTTGCTCTTTCCAAGTCTCCGAGGTGAGTGGCGAGTATATCATGATGGGAACTGGTGACGGCAGGAAGATCAGCTTCAGTGGCCGAAGAGCCGCCGTGGGTGTGGCCACCCAAGTAGACAACATAATGCCTTTTCGCGGCGGAAGCTAGAGACGGCGACGAAAGAAGACATAAAACCGAGGCCAAGCACAGGAACGCAAGCGGCGGCATGCGGGTGGTCGTCATTGGTAATTTCCCACGGCGTTTTTGTTCTTCGCTTTACTTGGAAATATCGTGCCGAGGATCAAAAGTCCTATTTTCGAGTGTTGTATTAGAGTCTTGGTGGGGTTGTGGCCGAGCAGTCATGCGTCGATCGAGTGAAGGGAAATCCATCCCTTCGTTGAGTCAATTCAATCGGCTTCAATATAAGGTGAGTGTAAAGGGGGTAAATTCTACGCCTTACGGTTTTTTTCAAGTAGTTGCTTTGAGTATTTTTTTTAGTATTGATTTACGTGATGTGCGTGCAGTATTTGATTCATGTTTGACATTGCATGATTATGTTTGATGATATGTGTGATGGTTGAGCTATGATTTGAAGTGAATTGCGGATGAGTTTATTTCATACTTGAAGCTTGATGTCTATGAGTTAGTGTTAAATTTTAAGAACAAGTACTTTTTAAGAAGTAACTCACCTTCAAGAAGGTGAAGTCGTTTGAAGTGTTTTTAGTTACTAGCGCCAGTCCGTTGCCTTTTGAGACAGTTTGAGATAGAGCAGCAGTTATGCTCTTGAGATATTTAAGATGGGCAGCAGTTATGCCCTTGATAATCGTGGTGAAGAGCCACCACGATAAGTTTAAGATGTTAGGGGGATGAATCGTTACGACTTCCCTAACTAAGTTTAAGTTTAAGGAAAGCCTGGATGGCTTCTCATACGTATGAGTTGGGCAACCGGACTAGCTAGTGAGGGATCCCAGTGTCAGTCAAGGATTTAAGTCAAGCTTTGAGATTTAAGAATGGAGTAACAGTAACTCCCATACAGTTTTAAGAGTTAAGCTTTTCAATAGTGGAAGTACAAAACAACTTCCACACAGTTAAGTAAAGTGCTCAATTTTTAATAAGAGGTTAAACGTAAGGGCGTAGACTGACCCCATCTCACTCACCAGTTTGAAGAGCTAGAGGAGCATTTAGTGAGCAGCGATTTCGAGGGCATGCAGCTAGAGGAAGGCAGTATAAGCGTCACAGAGGATGCTTAGTCAAGGTTTTCAGTAGCAACAACTTCAGAGTTTATTAGTTAATTACATTTATGATTATGGGTACAGACTGGAGATTATTTTGAGATCAGATTGAGATTTTAAAGTTTGAGTTTAATTTGCCCACCTGTTAGGGCTTTTCTTGAACTACAAGTGTGTGTTTTTCAGTATTTTATTTGTGAAAATCTTACCCGCTGCAATTTAAGATTTGAGTATTTGATTTATCAAGGGCATTTAAGTAAAAGTAGTACCCGACCGGGTTAGGGTGTTTCAAAGGGTTGCCGACAGTCTGAGCTTCAACGGTGGCCATGGCAACGATGAGAAGTGAGGAGAGCACCAGCGGCGAGTGAGACGCTTTTCGGGCCAGAAAGTGGGTAAGCCTCTGTTTTTTAGTTGTTTTATTTCAATATTTATGTAGGTCATGGATTCTAATATTGTGTATTTGGTCGATTCTAATTCTACTCCTCACTTTTGCAGGTTTCAGATTAAGACATCTAGGTGAATTCATTCCTAAACCCTTACCATTGCTTCGATGGCTCTTTAGCCTAGATGTAGATGATTGATTTTTGACGTGATTTACATACCTAATTATTCTAGATTTGCTATAATTTCGAACTTGGGTTTTGGTGTTAGTGCATGGCTTTTGTGAGAAGTTTAGGTAAATATGGAATTAGGATTATGTTTGGTTGGGATGTTGGTTTCTATTCGCCTAATCTCGATCTATTAAGCAAAACAATTGAGTTTTGAGGATTTTATGTCTATATGCTATTTGAAACAACCATTTTCCATAACAATGAAGATGAATTTGTATTTTGCTTTTTAGAGATCCCCGCTACTGCTGGTGATCCACTAGACTAAAATAAACCGTATATTTCTAGTGATCACCGCCACTGCTGGTGATCTGCTAGACTAAATTAACCATGTAAAACAAAGTTTGTGATGATGATATATTGATATGCTACGAATCTGCGCTCGGATTAAGGGTGTTTTTAGAGTACCTACCTGGATTTGGGATCGTTGACTCCTCACGTGGAAGATCTGAATTTATTTCGAAAAGTTGTTTTCTGAAGGTTTGGGAATGATATGAGGTTGCAAACTTGTGTTTTGGGCAAGATCTAGATTGAGTTTTTGTGAGATATATGATAACCATGACTAGGATATGATGAAAATTACATCTGATTTTTACTTCTATCTTGCTTAGGCCGACTTTCTATTAGCTATGCTAGTACATATTATTTTCACAAAAACTCATAGATTTTTTTTTTTGGTTGACAGGAGGCCAAAGCCAAGAAGGGGGACAGGGGAGTTACAGAGAACTGGTCACTGCAACTTGGCGCTCAACACCAACTCCAGCTTTATCATCATCCATAATCTGCCGGAGTGCACTCGGCTCGCTAGACAGTTCATGCATACCGTAGGGATAGACGAGACTGTGCTTCGAGAGCCAGTCCGCGACTCTATTCCCCTCTCGGTACGTATGAACTATTCTAACAAGCCAATCCTGAGCTATCAACCTCCGAATAGAGGAAAAAAGGGAAGCATAGGGGTGAACCGGGTCTCTGCGGTTCTCAATCAGCTGGATGGCCACCTGCGAGTCCGACTCCATCACCACACTAACATGGCCGTGCTTGCGGGCTAGCGTCAAACCGTGGAAGAAAGCCCACAGCTCGGCCAAAACCGCCGGAGCTTCACCAATATTCGCCACAAAACCTGTAATCCACCGACCCTGCGTATCTCTGATGACTCCTCCAGCACCAGCAAGCCCCGGGTTCCCTGCCGAAGCTCCATCAATGTTGACTTTAACCCAACCATTGGGAGGGGGGTGCCATCTGATGACCTCCATCGAGCGCCTCACATCGTTGATACCCCTGCCTTGAGGAAGAGTCGGGGCTTCCCAAGCTCTATGCCAAAGCAGAGCTTTGTGCTCCACCGAGTGTGCCAAGGAAGGCGCTGTGAAAGCCTTGCTCCTCCCTTCGAAACAAGCCGTGCACCTGTTTTTCCAAATTAACCAAATGGCCACACCAAAGAAAGCATTCCACAACATACCGGTTTGCATGGCGTCGTCCCTAAGTAGATTGATGCGCAGCCACGCCTCACCGTCGCTTGAGAAGAACTCATGGTGCCTGCTGGGGGGGACCCATCTCGTCCAACAAAACCTCGCCGGGGGGCAATCGCGAAGAATATGGCTAATCGTCTCAGGGCAACCGCTACACCGAGCGCACATCGGCGAATCCGCACATTTCCTGGAAAAAAGAAGACAATTCGTGGCTATCCGACCACGAGCGACAAGCCAAACAAAACACCTGATCCGCTCAGGGACTGGGAGCTTCCAGATTTGCTTCCAGATCTTCTCTTCATGATCAGTAGGACTCGGCTGAAGCAGCTGGTAGGCCGATTTGGTGGAGAAATGCCCGTTGGTAGTCGCAGTCCAGAAGATGGCGTCGTCATCGGCAGACAAAGTGTCGACTTTAATCGAAGTAATCTTCTGCTGGATTCCTTGTGGAAGCCAGGCAGCAAAACGACTGGTGTCCCAATTCCCTTCACTGTCAAGGTACTCCGCAACAGTCTCCGTGCGCATCTCCTCAGGGATTGGCTGAGAGGCTGCCTCCGTCAGGGGGCCCTGCAAAACCCATTTATCAAGCCAAAACTTAGTGTTCTGACCATTATGAATATTCCACGCACAGCCTTTTCTAAGGAGATCAGCAGCCTTAGTAAAACTTTTCCAGGCAAAAGAACTTCCCTGAATTGGACGGAGCATATTAAGGCCTTCAGTCTGCTTGCCATACTTTGAACGCATGATCTGAGTCCAGAGAGTATCTTTTTCTTGCAGCAGTCGCCACCCTCCTTTAGCCAGGAGAGCCAGGTTTGATTGACGAAGAGAGCGCAGACCCCCTCCTCCCCGAGCTTTAGGTTGCGCAAGATTTTCCCAAGCCACCAGGTGTATCTTCCCTTGGTCGCCCTCTTTTCCCCAGACAAAATCCCTGTTAATCCTGTCAATTGATTTGCAAACATTCATAGGGATCAATTCAGTCTGCATAGTATAAGTGGGGATAGACAGGGAGATAGAACGTGTCACCGTGAGTCTCACAGCCAGGGAGAGGCGTTTGGCTTTCCAAGGAGCAAGTTTCTTCTGGATCTTCAGGACCAGGTCTTGGTATCGACTCCTAGTTACCCGCCCATGGATGGTATGAATGCCAAGGTACTTCCCAAGCTCCTTTGCCAGCGGCATGGACGCCTTCTTGCTCAGTCTCGTCGCCCTAGCCATGCTTATATTCGGAGACACATACATCAGAGACTTGGCATAGTTTACCCTCTGACCCGAACTGTCATAGAACTCATCCAGGAAAGTTTTGATGACTCTGATCTGGGCACTCGTAGCATCTGCAAAAAGAACCAGATCATCGGCAAAAGACAAATGCGTTAGAGCCGGGCCATCTCGAGAGAGTCGTATGGGCTTCCATTGACGGTCTCGAACAGCCCGATCGATTCTATGAGAAAGCCGTTCCATGCACAAAACAAAAAGGTAAGGAGAAAGAGGGTCTCCCTGTCTGACCCCCCGGGTGGGGGTAATGGGCTGCATGAGTTCACCATCCCAGAGAATCCGCATCCGATTCTGCTCCACGCAGTACATAATGCCCCGGGCCCAGGAACTTGGAAGTCCCACTTCCACCAAGGTGTCCCGAAGGAAATCCCACCGCAACCTGTCATAAGCCTTTTCAAGATCTATTTTAAGCACGATCCCCCCCTTCTTGCCTCTCTTCTTGTGCAGGGAATGAAGAACCTCTTGAACCACCAGGATATTATCCGCAGTTTGACGTCCGGGAATAAAGCTACTCTTGCGGGGAGAGACCAGGGACCTCATAACCGCTTTTAAGCGACTCGTTATTGCCTTCGTAATCACCTTGAGGCTGACATTATTCAGGGAGATTGGCCTCAGCTGGGTCACCATCTCCAGCTTCTCAACCTTGGGAATAAGCACCACCGTTGAGTCGGAAA